GAATAACAATCTTTTGTGTTTCACCGTACACTTTTTGAAATTGTTGTTGTTTGTTGTTTGTACGGGGTACGGGATTTCGACAAGCAGGCCGTACAGCATTCGCGCAACTTAGCTGCTCATGAACATTAACAACTTTGATGTAAATGACAATATGTATACTAGAAAAATTGCTATAGAACCTATGTGAACGTAACAGTGAACATATTGGTTCAAATGATTCCAAAATGTAGTCGTTGAAAATTGATGTATCTCGAAATTCAAAAGCAAAACAGTATGGCGAACAAGCTTGTTTTCGTAACTTCGTCTTCAGGCCTTTACAGTTATGTGTGCGTATTTATATCTCATGTAGAAATAAATGTGGTTGGACCATAGAGGTTATGTGTGAAAATGCAACAATGTCTGTCTCGAATTTCACAGAAAGCAACTTGTGATTCAATGTCAATGTGAAGTTGACGTTTTCCCACCTGACTGTTGATGAGTACGCGTACTAAATAGGGGACAAAGGAGTTTCCGTCTGAATTTATGTAGGTTTGGTTGTGACAGAATTGGCAGGATATATGAGTACGAAAGTATGCAAAAACGTGTTTATGATCCGAAATAACCGTTTTTGTCAAACTGACTTCAGAATCTTTGTAACGAATAAAACATTTTCCAACTAAAATACTAACGGGAATTACAGAAACGAGACAAACGATCGACAAACCTCACGGTAAGATTTGAAAATTTTGTTTAACTAAATCTAAAAGTAGTTAAACAGCAACACATTAATAAAGGGAAATATACGAATGCATGCAGGCAGTGCAGAATGAATTTCGTTCATGAAACTGTGTTTGAAATGTCAGATGCTTGCATTTCCCAGTACAGTTATGGGTTGATGAGTAATTCGCTCACATTGTAGTCAGAAGTGGACCACGGAATATATCAGTTTGAAGCTGGTTTGATATGAAAACTCAAGAAGAATGCAAACAGCTAAGGATGGTTAAGCTTTAGTCCTGAATAAACGATAAATGGCGAATGAACTATTAGATTTAGACCGTTTAGGGGAAAATAGTGATAGATTCATGGACAAGAGTTGTCATCAACTCAGTTTGTGGGCGAGCATCATGCAGAAGACGTGCATAAGACTGATTGCAGACCTTGGTTCAGGGGGACTTGAAAGTTTCTTCCGTGGGGAAATAGTCAGTTCTGGATTGGACTGGTAAGATGACGGAGGGCAACGTGTACGAGGATGAATGTACGCTGAATTCCATTCTTCGTTGTCCGCGCTGTGAAGTTTTGCAGCTTCTCGTTGTCCTCAGATTAGGCGAATATTTTGTCTAACTGCCCTCATAAGATACTCAATGATTCCAGTCATCCGCTGAAGCGCGAGTTATCTGCTTGCCGTTCCCAC